TCAGCTTTCCTGCTCCTTTGATGCTGCCTGGCCTGCTGTGTTCCTCCAGCTCCACACTGTGTAAACACATGTGGCACTAGTTCAAGATCCAAACTCTCAAAAAAGGTTAGTGTATTTAAATTACACACTTTTCATCACAACACTATTACCACTGTGCATCGACTGTTGCTGGTGGTTAATGGCTTGCCAGTTAAGCAGACTGCTTTGTCTTGAATGGTGTTAGGTTTCGTGCGCGTTGTAGCTCCAAGTGGAGAGTGTTCCATCATACTCCTGACTATTACCTCATAGATTGACAAACTTTGAGGAGTGAGGAGGTCAGTCACTCTCAGTAGAATTCCATTTCTAGTCAGTGGAAATACCCAGAATGTTAATAATAAGAGATAAATGCCATTGAATGTTGGGTAGCAGGCTAGATTTTATTTTCTTAGAGATGTTCATTATCTGGCAGTTGTGTGGCACAAATGTATTTTGCTACTTATCAGATAAGCCTGATTGTTGTCCAGGCCTTGTCACATATGGACAAGAATTAAGTATCTGAGGAGTTGTAAATTGTGCAGAGCATCATGTAATCATAAGTAATCTTGAAATTACATGCTTACTATTTGTTGTACATTCAGTATATCATTATTCCATAGTTAATTCCCTATTTGCATCAACAATGACTCCTTTAGCCTACTTAATTTTGGCATTATGGGCTCTACATTCTAACATGGCTATTGCCAATGTCACCACGAGACCCTTTGACAGGGACGGATAGCTCAGTCAAACCATCAGTATTCCCACTCTGGCCTTATGATGGAGAGAAGGTTATTGATGAAGCAGATGAAGATGATTGGGTCAAGAATACTATTGTGAGGATCTCCAATAATAATGTCCCTGGGCTAAGATTATTGATCTCTAATGACTACAACTACCTTCCTTTGTACTAGACATGACTCTAACCAGCAGAGAGTTTTGCTCTGATTCCCACTAACTTCAGTTTTGCTGAGGCTCCTGGATTCCATTCTTAATGTATTACTGCCTTGATGCCAATGGCAGTCATAGTCATTTTCACTCATAGGTTCAGCTCTTTGGTACTTGTTTGAACCAAGGCTGTAGTGAGGTCAGGAGCTATACTGAGGACATTGCAAATGAAGCAGTGGAATTTCTCGCCATATATATTAACTTGATTTTTAAACAATTGTTGGAAATTTCAACTAGAAAGATATATAACAAAACTTAAAACCATCAAAAGTTGGGATGAAATCTGGGGACTGGACATGATGTTGAATAAATAAAGGCTGCATAGTGTGTATAATGATAGCAAGGTCAGAGAGGTTGTACAGGGTGGGGATGATGTGTTGATTATTTTAGGATTTTTTCCTTGGCCTTTTGCTTTGCGTCAACATGAATTACCTTGGAAGTGGGCATCCACTTGTCAGTGATCAAACAGTTTTGAAATTGAGTAGAAAGGCCAATGAGTTCACTTAACTTTTTGAAGAAGTATTTAAATCAGCTTTGCAATTGAGTAAATAAATTAAGTTCTACCAATAAACATATTGAGTGAAAAATGAAAGATCTGTTTTCTGGTATTGGTTTGAAGGATAAATGTTGGCTAAGATACCCTGCTCTTCTAATTCTCCTTTCAGGACATCAACTCTTCACAACATACATAGTGACCTGGAGTAGCAATCTCAAAATACTGACGCTGATTAAATGTTTCTTTAATCCACAGCGCAATCTCAGACACTTCAATTTATCTTACTGTCAATTGTGATCGTCTTTATCTGTGCTGTTATGATCATGCTGCTGGTTTACTTGAAAAAAGGTTAGTATTCTGCTATTACAGATGCTGTGCTGTTAGTCAGCATTCTCTGATTCAGACTTTCAGCTTTCACTATAATCACCTTCTGTCTCGACTAATTTTCATTTGTACAATATGGAACTGAGCTCTGCTGAAAAAAGACGTGTTTTGACAATGCTTTTCATCTTATATCCATCAGGACATTTCAAAAGGATATCAAGAAAGGAGAAAACCAGCATTTATATTGCATGAGAGGAATGTGTTGATTGGTTGGCAATTGGATTCTGATTGGTAAAGGTGTTGCCATGAAGTATGCACCCATGTATGTAACACTGATTGACAGTTAACAGCCAAGCTTTGTTTACATTTTAAACTTGGCAGGTAGGCTGTGATTAGCCAGGGCATTGCCCTCCGTATTGAACCAGCAAATGGCTGTTGTAACAGGTGTAGCCCATGTACATGTTATTTCTTTCTGCAAAGATCAGGGCTTTGTGCATTAATGCAACTTCCAGTAGGTGACAACACCACTATCCATAAGAGGACACTTAATCAACTTCTCCTCTCATGCAATATAAATGTTGATTTTTTTTTTCTCCCTTGAAGTACCCATAAAAAGCCTTCCCAATCTCTTAAACATTCAATCTGTTCATGAAATGATGTGGTTGTTGAGTTTTTAATTGCTTTCTGTCCTTTCCTTTGTAGTTGCAGAAAAAAACAAGGTAAGAGCAATATAATTTGAAATTTTACTAAAGCCGTAAAGTTTTGCAAAGAAATTGTGCAAGTAAAGGATAATTTTAGAAGATCAATTGATATATTCACAATGCAGTTGTAGTTTTTTTTATTCCCCTGACTATGAGAAAGAGATTAAACAGGTTGGGTCTAAACCTGTGCGGTTGTTAAAAATGAGAGATGGCCTAAAGAGGCTTTGTTGAGGGGCTGATGCTGAGAGGATGTTTCTCCTCCTGCAAGAATCTAGAACTAAGAGGCCCAGTTTCAAAATGAGGACTGCCTGATTTAAGGTGGAGGTGAGGAGACATTTCCTCTCTCTGAGGCTCATTTGCATTTGGAAGTCACTACCTTATAAGGAATAGTCAGTGAAGGTACTTAAGGCTGGGTTAGGTGACGGAGGTTGCAAATGGCAAGAAGCTGTCAAAGAAGCCTTGGTGAGTTGCTGCAGTGAGTCTTTAGGTAGTATTCACTGTTGCCACTGACTCAATGGTAGAGGAAGTAAATGTTGAAGATGGAATGCCAACCAAGTGGGCTCTTTGTCCTGGATGATGCCAAGCTTCTTGAGGGTTGATGGAACTGCAGCCATCTTGACCAGTGGAGAATGTTCCATTACTGACTCATACCTTGCAGACAGTGGGCAGGCTTCGGTGAATCAGGAATTGAGTTATTGCCACAAACGTCCCAGCCTCTGACCTGCTGTTATAGCTGAAGTATTTATATGATTAGTCCAGTTCAGTTTGTGGATAGTGGAGGATTCTGTGTTTGTGATACCGTTGAACATCAAGGGGGGATGGTTACATTCTCTCTTGTTGGAGATGGTCATTGCCAGGCATTTGGGTGTCATGAAAATTACTTGTCACTTATCAGCCCAAGCCTGAGTGTTGTCCATGTCTTGCTGCATTTGTGCATGGACTGCTTCAGTGGCCAAGGAGTCTTGAATAGCACTGAACATTTGTGAATAATTGTACCCCTCTAGTTCCCTTGGCACATGTCCCCTCATCCCTAATCCCTGGTCCCCATGTGGCCCCAGAATGTGGCATTTTTCCCCCTTAAGTCCTCAGCCGCTTTTCATACCTGCCAGGAAGGCAGGCAGTCAGGCGAATGGTGAACTGAGGCCCTTAGCTGACTGGTCATGAACCACAAGTGTCTTATTCAGTGCTAAGCTGAGTAAGTGCCTACTGTAATTGCTAAGAAGGGGGCAGATATCTCTGCAGACATACCTGTATGTCTTACCACCTGCATAGACAGAATAGTCACACCTTTTGAATTTGGAATGGTCAAGTTTTTCTACTGCGTTGAGGTAGGAATAGATAACGGAGATGTTGGGCTGGAGATTGATGATGCAACTAATGGTCTGTGGAGTTGGAAGTTTGGATTAAAAATTTAAACGTATTAACTAAAGTCAATGTGATTCAATGAAGGGCTTTTTTTAATTCCCTTATCTTTCAACTATTCTGAATAGCCCTTAAACTTAACATGTTGCTATAATATGAAAGTGTATTTTCTAATGTTCTTACTTTTATCTCTTCAACAGAAAAAGCCGTATTGAGACTGTAAAAGAGGATTCAGCGTAAGTCCTGATAAGGAAAGAAAGTAAAAACTTCTATTTATATGGACCTTTAGCATGTCCTTGGAGCATTTGCAAAAGCTTTACTAGCAATGAATTACTTTGAAGGGCTGAGAGTACAAGCACATGCTGCAGGGAACACGTGCATAACAACATCCCACAGAGAGCAAGCAATTGGCTGATTCATCAGTTTTGATGTTGTTCTCAGAGGGAGGAATATGGATCAAGGCACAGTATTAACTCTCTGCACTTGTTCAGGTAGATGCAATACATCCACTTGAACGAGTGGAAGTGGAGGACAGAGCCGCAGTTTAATGCCTGATCTGAAAGATGGCCATCATAAATGACAAATTACTTCCTCAGCACCCAGTTGATGTGTCATTGTCAGGTACCAGATTGAAGCTTAACCTACAAGGTTCTGGCTCAGACCAGGAGTGCTCTGAACTGAGCCAAGCCCATCAAGGCGTGAATTTCGCCTTACCTATCTCCAAACTATGAGTCATTGATGAGTGACAGAACCCGCAGCGTACCTATAACAACATAAGCTCTACCATAATGCTCACCTACCCCTGACACAGGCGGCTGTAAATTCTTTATTAAACTGAACAGTTTGTGTTTAAAGTTGAAACTAAGTTTAGATCAGTTGTTTGTTGAACAGTCCATTCCAAATTGTTCTCTTCATCTTCCATTCTGTTTGTTCTAAATTATGGAGAACCAGTACGGCATTCACTTGTGCTAAGGTGAATTTAGTTGCCAGCTCAATGCCAGACCTCTCTTTCTCCTGATGAGAAATATGAAAGCAAGCCAGCAGTATAACTCCGGCCTACTGGCCAGAAAATTGGTGATTGGTTTTGTAACAATCCCATTTGGACACAAAGTTTATAGAAACATGAAAAACAGGTGCAGGAGTAGACCATTCGGCCCTTTGAGCCTACACCACCATCTGTATGATGATGGCTGATCATGCAATTTCAGTATCCCACTCCCCCTTTCTCTCTATACCCCTTGATCCCTTTAGCCACAAGGGCCACGTCTGGCTCCCTCTTGAATATATCTAACAAACTAGCCACAACAGCTTTCTGTGGTAGAGAATTCCACAGAACTCTCAAAGTGAAGAAATTCTTCCTCATCTCAGTCCTGAATGGCTTACCCCTTATTCTTAGACTGTGCCCCCTATTTCTGGATTTGCCCAACATCAAGAAAATTCTTCCCGTATCTAGCCTGTCCAGTCCCAACAGGACCTTTATATGTTTCTATGAGGTCTTCCCTCATTCTTCTAAACTCCAGTGAGTAAAAGCCCAGTTGATCCAGTCTTTCTTCTTATGTCAGTCCTGCCATTCCGGGAATCAGTCTGGCGAACCTCCGCCTGACTCTCTCATTTTCTGAAGAAGGGCCTAGGCCCGAAACGTCAGCTTTCCTGCTCCTCTGATGCTGCTTGGTCTGCTGTGTTCATCCAGCTCTACACCTCGTTATCCCTCAATGTGGGTTGTTCTGCTATAATGCATCTTTCTTTAACATGAATTGGCTATAATACAAATGATGAATATTGGATGCTGTTTGGATAATGCAAACTTTCTTCTGTACAGGTAGAGTGACTTTCTGTAGCGATTCTATAACGTGATTTTCTGTGGCAATTTTCTTTAGTGCGATTTTCTACAGTGCAATTTTCCACAGCGCAAGGTCATGCAAGAACACGACTATCACGTTATAGGAAAACTACCTTTAGCAACAATGTCCTTCCTCAGACTAGGAGATCAAAACTGCACACAATACTCAAGCTGGGGCCCCACCAAGGCCCTGTATAACTGCAGCCAGACATCCCTACTTCTATGCTCAAATCTTCAGTTATGCCCAGTTTCCCACTGCTGTTGTTCCATGAAGACTATCTCCCATGAATGACATTCATCAAAAAAGTCTAATAGCAAAACAAGGCACAATTGACAACTATTCATTCAGTTTTATTCAGTAATTTAATCCAAGACAGCAGTCTCTTTATTCCAGAGATATGCAATCAGTCCTGCAGTTTATATGTTTTTGAGAAATTTTGTTTTAACATTTTGCCTGAAAATATCATCCCTTACCATTTCTTCAGAACTACCACTGAACACACCTAAGTATCCACTGAAGTCCTTAAAGTGGGACCTTCTTATTTAGCATTGCCAAAAATCAGGACGCATGTTTCCAGACATTCCTGACTTGGCTATAATTTATTACCAGGTCACTGACTGGAAGCTGTTTTTTTTTAAAAATTATTATTATGATGGAAAGGGTCACCTGCCTGGAGAAAATGGTGCCAAAGCTGCAGTTCTGGAAGCCTCACTCCCAAACTTGGCGCCCGCCATTTTCATCATGAGGGTGTGTGTGGGGGCAGGTTGTGGGTTACACAACTGTGCTGAACAGAGGCTGCTGCATAAGAGCTGCCCTCAGTCTTCATGAGACCGTTGTCCCCAACACGACGTGTACATTTTACACTGCTGGGAGAAGGCCGAAAACTACAAAATAATTGAGAGGGTAGTACCCTTTGGAACCATCAAGCACATTAGAACTATCTTAATGTAAAAAGAAGTGTTGAGACATTTAAAACATTAGCTTTTAAGTTTAAAAAAAAGGTCTATGATCATAGAATCCTGATAGTGTGGAAACAGGCCCTTCGGCCCAACAAGTCCACACTGACCCTCAGAGCATCCCACCCAGACTCATCCGCCTAATCTACACATCCCTAAACACTATGGGCAATTTAACATGGCCAATCCACCTTGCCTGCACATCTTTGGACTGTGGGAAGAAACTGGAGCATCCAGAGGAAACCCATGTAGATACAAGGAGAATGTGCAAACTCCACACAGACAGTCGCCTGAGGGTGGAATTGAACCCGGCTCCCTGGCGCTGTGAGGCAGCAGTGCTAACCACCGTGCCACCCCAATGGTTTTTAAGAAATTGGAGCTTGGTGTTTCACTCTGCTATAAGCTGAGGGCTACCTTTATAAGAGGATGACTGCTTTCAGAAGCTATAGTTATCACAGCAGAGTGCCTCTCAGTTTGTATTTTAATTCACAACTCCAACTGCTTATGAAGTCCTTGTTGCAAGTTTATGAATGCAAATACTTGTTTTTTTTTATATAAAGGATTAAGTTGTTGAAGAAACTTAAATGGAGCAAATGGATTTTTAATCATGGGGAGTGTTTCTTCTCCAAATCTGGCAGTTCCTATGGCTTCCTTTGCATTGCCTCTGGGGCAGCAGGACTGAATTTACACCTGGCCACTCCTTGCAGTCCACAGTCAGGTCATCCCACCCATTTTCTGACAAGTCAGGTTTGAGGCTTCCAATCAGTACTCCTGACTCGGGATGGAAATTCATGCCAAAAAAAAACGCAGTAAAGGCTGTTCAGAATGTGACACATGAATTCAGGTGACTAGTCACCGAATGAGATATTATTGACTGAATGTGAATGGAAACAATGTGACTAATTGTCTCCTTTCTCCTGTCAGGAGAAGTTACGTTATCCTACGGAAGTGGACTGTAGGACCTGATTTATTGTTTTGTTGAACCCTCCCCTGAAGCTGTGATATTCCAACTCTATCCATCAAACCACAACCTGACCCTGAAGGATGCTCTCTATCTTCAAGGACTGGTTATGACAATGGTCCCCAGTGAGAGTGTTCACAGTTTGAAACCTGGAAATTGAGCATTGTGGAACGGTGACATCATTGAGATGGTAAAACCTTTCAGCCAATATGTCCCTGCCTACTGATATGGCCAAGACATTTCTTCTGTGCAGTCTGTCCACATTGTTTTGAATGTTAGCATTAACCCATTCTTTTATAACTTGGCTGAAGTGTTACATTTTATTCAGTTCCGTTCCGTTTTTTCCCCAAAACTTCCATCTCCTCATGTTCACGTTCTTTTTCAAAGAAGGCGATTATAAGGAGAGCACGTTCCTTGTAACGGTATGAAGGTGGTGGATATTAAATGGGGATTCATTGTAAATAGGAAAAGACTGAAACTACAGTTGTTGAGTTAGGAGATGCGTGCTTGTAATGCATTACTCTGCAAATAAAGGGTCATAGAATATGCACCAGTCCTATCCCTCACTGCCTGACATCCTGGAATGGAGCAGGACCCATTGTTCAAATGCACACGTTGCATATGAGGCCCAGTAGGTCACAGAGGGTGGGGTAAATGCCATCTGTACCACAGTGGTGTGCCAGAAGGTGTAGCAGCAGCTACAAAACCAGCACACAACCTAGGCCTGGCCTGATTTTCCTTCCACCCAGTTCACTGGTGGAACAATTGAGCTCTGTTTGAAATCTGTGACCCTGATTTATTCTCTTTTCCGCATGCTCTCAGGTAGTTCTTTACACAGATACCGTTGCTGATTGACTCCAGGGTCTCTCAGTATTTATCTGCTGCAGCCTAAACGTTACTCAATGTTGGAATTTTGTGGGAATATAGCACATTTTGTAGTTTAATTTCAAAGAGCTGATTTTTCCAACTGAGGTTTTGCTCAGAACTCACTGTTGTATTATCCCATGCTCTTTGTCACTGTTTGGATGCCCTGCTTTACTATGAGACCAGCTGGAAGCTAAACTAAGTGCCGCCCTGAAACCAAATGTTTGGAACCATGCATATCACCTTGTGGTTCCCAACCCTTTCCCTTTGTCCTGGGATTCTTCACGAGTTAAAGATCAATCTCCTGGACACTGCTTCAGGCAAATTGGGAGAAAGAAACAGAACAGCATTAATAGGGATTTTTTTTTTCTCTCATTTTGTGGAAGACTTGCATTCTGTCCTCAAAGAAACGTATGTGGATTTGGAGAGAAAAGGAAGGTCTTCTTTGACCAGTCAGAGGGGTGGGAGAGTCACTTATTAAATTTCCTGGACAATGCCCAAGCGGAGCTGGCAAAAGCCATTCCAAGTGAATTTATTCCCATCCCCATCCCCCCAATCCTCACCAAATCCCACCTCCCAGTGGCTCCATAGCTGATTCCCAGTCTGAACAGCACTGTAAAAGTATTGTCATCACCAGAGGGATTTCACTGATTCAAGGAGAGAGCACACCATCACCAACTCAGCGCACTCAGCGACGGACAGTAAATGCACCCTTGCCAGCGTCACCCATGCCCTGAGAACTGGAATAAATATCGGAAAAACTCACTACTACCTCGATCTCTCAACGCTTGCTTGCCACCTCCCTTGTTTTGATGACTGAGTTCCAACAATCTTATTGGCTTTGTTGGCTGCATGTGCTGAGCTTTGAATCAACCAGGGCTCCTAGCTCTTGTTCATTTTCTTCTTCAGCTATTTAAAGGTCTTCCATGGGCTCGGGTATGTTGCGCCTTTCTCCTTGCAGTATGTGCTAGTCTGCATTACACCTCATGGCCAACTGCTCTGCCTGTTTGCACATTCTGCCCACCCCATAGTGCCACTTCCGAGGCTGCCTGGTAAAACTCCACTGTCTCTCACTTTGGTTTGGTATCATCTGCAGATCTGACCACTTTACACCAAGATTCTGAAATCCGGCCACCCAATCCAGCTGTCTCAGTACAAATTAGTCTGATGTTGAAAATGTGCCTCAGCTTTGGTGACAGGGAATCTAGCTAAAATACAGCAGAATACCACCAGGGGGTGAGCTTTACAAGCACTTGTTGCTTTCTCCCATTCTTGTACTGCAGTTGTGACAACATTTTCTGCTCTTTTTAATTGTTCCATCTCCAGAGGTAAATTGTTTACATTGTCAATGAAGGTAATTTGCTTACCTGTGTACATTACTCTATCTGGCATACAGTTTTTTTGTAAAAGGAACATCAATGTAGTAAGAAAGAGCTGTACACATTCCCTGATGTAATGAATCGAATGAAGACTTGTTTTTACTGAGTTTGTAAGAGTGATCGGTAATGTACAGCCGTTATTATTCGGTACTTGGTTATTTCACTGGAATAAATGCGTTAGTTCTATGACCTGTCAGACTTAACATTGGTACAAAAATAAATGCAAATAACAATTAAAGTGAGCAAGTCTCTAGTCATTTAATTCTTAATAGGTAAATCAATATCATTTAAACAAAATATCTTGTTGCCAATCTTATTCAGTGATGCTCCAGTGTGGTACTGAGGAAATGCTACACTGTTGGAGGTGCCATCTATGGATGAGAGCTTGAATTAAGACCCCATCCATTTTCTTGGGTGGACATAAAAGATCCCATGGCAATATTCAAGATGGACTAAGACATTCTCCTTTCCTGTTGAAACTTTTAGGCATTCAAATACCTGGGTGAGGCAAGGAGAGTAAACCATATTGAAAATGAGAAATGAAATCAAATCGGAAACTAGTTTTTCATGTTTGGTGAAACTAGTGGGACAGGTTTTTAATCATCTGATAATAGCAAGAACCCTGATATGATCTTGTAACTAATAACAATATCATTAGGCATTTTATTCATATGAATGTGCTCGTCATTATTTAGCCCTCACCCAACATAACTGAAATATTCACGATATTTTTTTAAGTTTTTTTTTCTCATTAATGTTTATGGGATGTTACTTTACGCAAATTGATTGCTGCTTTTGCCGAAATGGTGACCATGCTTCAAAAGCAAGTAAATAATTTGTAAAATGCTTTGAGGTGTTCTGATCTTGTGAAAGGCATTATATAAATGCCACTTTAACACACTGCCCTGCTCCCTGGCCAACATCTCTGTCTCCGAGATAGTAGAAACTGCAGATGCTGGAGAATCTCAGATAACAAGGTG